GTAATTCTGTATGAAAGTACATCACTGGTCTTGGCTGTAACTACAGTATGTAATCTTAGGGAAGGATGTATTGAATAGAGCTGGGCACAAATTAAAAACTGGATCATGAAATTTGTTCAAAAATGGTTAATTTGTTGATTCATATTTGTATGAATCAATGCCTTCCGATGAATCACAAATCAATGAATTTTAACTATTTTCTGTTTGTCAATTCGTTTGGCTAGAGGTATCACAATAGCAGGGAAGCTTCCACTGACTTTCCTTTACAATCCCTCCAAATTTTGTGAAGATTGGGTTTCATATGTCTGAGTTATACACCCATAAAGAAGGCCCCTCAGAAAAGTCCCCCTCCCTGGCACCTAGAAAAACCAAAATCACAAAGACGCTTCCTGTGAATCTCCTCTACAATCCAAGTTTGGCGAAGATTGGGTTTCTCCAAGTCAGCTTCTAAAGGGGGCGTCCAATTTGTGGGTGTATAACTTGGATGTATGAAACTCAATTGTAACCAAACCTGGAAGGACTGTAGAGGAGAGTCAGGGGAAGATTCTCTGCTTTTTTGTTTCTCTAGGTGCCTGGGGGAACTTTCCTGTGGCCTCTCCTTGTGGTTGTATAACTCAGACATCTGAAACCCAAACTCCACCAAACTTGCAGGGCCTGTAGTGGAGAGTCAGGGGATGATTCCCTGAAAAATTGGTGTCTCTAGGTGCTTTGGGGACGATTTTAAAAGGTTTTAAATTTAAAAAATTAAATGATGAATCACTTTGTTGATTTGTCAGAAAAAAATCATAAATTCGTAATTTGTGATTCATCAACCTTGATGAATCAAGAATCAAAATGAATTACCATTTTTCTGATTTGTGCCAATCTCTAGTATTGCTGGCAGATCCATAAGCATGCCATCATGAAGAGCAATAGAAGTGAGTGGACAAGTATATGGAAGACAAAGAAAAAAGATTAAAGTAGCATCAGGGCTCTTTCATTTATCTCAAGCAAACAAGATTCACCCCTAATGAGTTCTGAATTGCAAGTAGCCAAGATGATTCCAAGAATTAATCAAAATTATTGTGGCTAGATTATTTTGAATAATATTGTTATCTGTCTAGCCAGATAAGGCATTGTATCTAATGCAATAGTACTTGTAGCAGAATATTTTTTTTCTCCAATTTGGCTCTTTTTATTCTAGCTAACATCAAAACAACCAGAAGTGATTTCTTAAACCATGGGCATTGCATGAATTAAGCTACTGTGTATGTATTTGTTACTATTGAAAAATTGTTGTATGCAGAAGACTGCACTCAAATACTACACAATTTTTGTAGATTATAAAGTCTTTGATAATAGATATTTTTGTGTAATGCTCCCTAACTTTATATGTTGAGATAATTCTAGTAACATCAATTATTTCAGGTATTCTCGAAGGCTTTCATGTCCAGGATCTAATGGTTGTTGTGGGTTTTTTGAGTTCTTTGGCCGTGTTCTGAAGGTTGTTCTTCCTATCGTTTCGCCAGTCTCTGTGGCTGGCATCTGGTGTAGTTTGCTTGGGAAATCCACAAGCACCAGCAGAACTTCAACAAAAAAGAGGAAAGTTTGAAACTCAACAAAACTTGGCTTCCAGCTCTGAAAAATACAGCATGCAAAAAGTCAATGACCTCTACCCAGCCACAAGGACTGGGGATCACTACAAACAAAAGACCAGCTAATCACAGTGACAGATAATCTCTCCTCCTTATCACAACAGTACACTCACAACAAGAAACACTAATCACCCATCCCCTGAATAGGACAAAAGCCTATCTCACAGCCATAAATACTCCACTCCCAAGCCAACTACACCAGAGCACAGAGTGCTGTCCTCTGAAGATGCCAACCACAGAGACTGGCAAAACGTCAGGAAGAACAACCTTCAGAACACGGCCAAAGAGCTCGAAAAACCCACAACAACCAATTATTTCAGGATTCATCAATTATTAAACACTGTTAGCTACAGATTTGTCTTTCACTTCATTCACTAACAAGAGACTTTTAAAAAAAAATATGCTTACAGGTGTAATTATTTTCAAATATTCAAGTCATCAAAAGATTGATACAATATGAAATCTTCTGCATATAGTTGAAATATGGTGGAATCAACATCCCCTCAAAGTTTCTGCCCTGCTGCATGGGAGCCTCACTCCATATGGACAGGCTTCATTCAAAATGGGAAGTAAACAAACTGGCTGCTGGCTGCCTGAGCACATCCCCAACACGTCTCTGGTGTCAGGATCTGGCCCATACCACCCTGGCAACTGCAGGATCAGGATAACCCTATTCATGAATGGCCTGGTGTTTGCAGGCTCAGATTCTGGCCTGAGTAGTACCTGCTGGGCCACTCATGAGGCTCACCTGGAAACCTGGAGGGAAGCCCTATTTACGGAGTGGTTCTCCCTCCCAGACTTTGCCTCTTGGTTGTGCGTATTGCTCTTGAGCTCCAGAGTGCCTGTATTCCTGTTCCTCTCTTGGCCCCTCTGCTTTCCTCATGTGTCTCATTCAGGCTCTGTGTTCTCCGCCCTGTGCTCCCGCCTCTGCTTGGTCACAACTAAATGTGCAGTGAGTGCCTTTGGATTTGACACTCTGTGTGGTGGATTGGGTCCTGATGCCCTTGTTCCTGATGAGGGGGCTGCCTGGGATATCTTGGACTATGACTTCTGGGCAAGCTCATATGCAAGCAGGTTAGAGAAAACACTGGTTGGGATGAACTTTCAGTAGTCATTGATTTTGTGTGGATTAAAAATGCACACTTACTCTCACTCGCTACATACAGACCACATCCCTTCTTTTCCCGGGAGGTTGCTTCTCAGAGAACATGCACTATTTTCCTAGAAGTGAAGCTGCAGTGCTTTTCATATGGGAGAACATGAGACAGCTCATTCAGACAATTAGATTTCTCAGTAGAGCATTGTGCTTTGTCATAACCACATGTTGGTTTGTCCCTATGAAGCTATTTGTAATGTGGCTCATCCATAAATTTTGAAGTTGAACATTTATTTTACATTTTAATGTCTAAGCCAATACTTTGGAGACAGTGTGCTTCCTGGCTGAACACACTGATCTAAATGTTATTAGTTTAAAGTGGTGATCAGCATTTGTGTAAGCTGTGCTTCAACAGTTGAGATTTTTTGTTTTGTTTTCCCTCCCCCACATTTTTATTTATCTATCTTCCCATCTGTCTAGTTGAAGATTCTGTGCTTCTCCACTCCTTTTATGGGTCTTACAGTTTGGAAAGTGAAGGATTGTCCAGCCGCATGTCATAGCCCAGGGAATGCCCAAGTGTCCTTGCAATGCTTTCCTACTCTTCAGGGAGGACCCTTCTGTGCCCCAAAATACATTTTCTGTGGTTGTGGAGAAATTCAATCAATGCAACACTTGCATGCATGCAATTTATGCCCCATCATAAACTGATCTGGCAAATGGCCAAGATAACACAATTGAGGTAGCCTGCTTCTGATAAAAAAACAAAACAAAAGAAAAACAGTCTAATTATCTCAACATTTTAATGTATTTTTAATTTTACCTATATTTCATACATGCTCATAATTTCAAATTGTTCAGTGTTCTGATAGGAATAAAGAAAGAAAAAAATGGATGGTTGTTGTGGGTTTTTCGGGCTCTTTGGCTGTGTTCTGAAAGTTGTTCTTCCTAACGTTTCACCAGTCTCTGTGGCCGGCATCTTCAGAGGACAGCAGCGGGGCAGAAACATTAGGAAGAACAACCTTCAGAACACGGCCAAAGAGCCCGAAAAACCCAGAACAACCATTAGATCCTGGCCGTGAAAGCCTTCACGAATATAAAAAAATGGGTCTTACATCTAGCAAAAAGTTTCAGACCTGGGGTGAGGAAACTTTTTCCAAGGAGGGTTTTTTGACTCATGGGAAAAACCAGTTAGTGGATGGACAGAAGAGAGCCAAAGTGATCCCTTTCTTTCTCCTCCCACCACACACTGCTCCCTTAAGGGTTAGGGGGAAGGAAAGGCAGTGCTGAGGTACATGTTATCAGCAAACATTTAAAGATGGGAGTGTAAAGAGGAAAGTGTGTGCATCTCTCTCACTGTTACCACTATTTCCTGTTTGTGCTCAGAGTTAAGAAGTTGAGTGGATGACTTCTGCCATTGCAGTGCCATAGGTGGACCTTCAGTAGACTCGACAGGCTCCTGAATGATTCTTTGGGGTGTGTGCAAGCAACCCGTAGACTGCCATTGTTCCACATACTTTTGCAAAAGGAAGCACTCCCAAGCCAACTACACCAGAGCACAGAGTGCTGTCCTCTGAAGATGCCGGCCACAGAGACTGGTGAAATGTTAGGAAGAAAAACCTTCAGAACACGGCCAAAGAGCCTGAAAAACCCACAACCATTAGATCCCGGCCATGAAAGCCTTCACGAATACATTTTTGTTGTCTTCTTTTCCAACTGTAATTACCCCTTAAAGCATTGGGGGAAGCACTGTACATCACATTCTTGACTTTTCTAATTCTGTGTCTACACTGGTAGTATTAAACTTTCTTCCTTCTTCCTTTACTTTCTGAAATCAATTCCTGTTTCTTCTTGTTCCTCCATTTCCATTAGAAAGTGAGACTTTTACATAGAGGAACCAGTTGTAGGGGCTTCTGTATCCAAATTAAGGCACCTTTTCTCCTGTGCACTCCTAAACCGATTCTCCTCACATCCTCCAGAAACAATTTTGTATTCTCTTTTGTTTTATTGTTACATTATCTAGACCAGTAACACAAGTTTTGTAGCTTCAAGCTTAGCGTTGGGCAGTTGGGCTCTGCCAGTAAAATGTCAAATCGCCTAACTCTCTGCTTGTTGGATGTTAAAAGAACTGTAAGTGTAGCATATAAAAATTATACATGTTATCTTGACAGAACTTAACAAAAATAAAGAGGGGAAAATGCATTCAATGAAATGCAGCCAGTGTTTTCAATATTAGGAGAGCCCTTTTAAGAAAATGTGGAAAACATACTTACGCTGGTTTCACAGACTGGAAATGTTTTTCATGAATGTAAGCACCAGCTAGACCTCCTGCTCCCGAATTCAGATACTGTAAGATGGAAGTCAGTATTTAAGTATCTTCTTGGACTTGTGAGAGCAAAATGACCTCTTTTCCCCCCCTCTCTCCAGACAAGCTTTGATATGAATATCATATGATGTGAACCAGCAAGACAGACATTCCTTAAAACACTTTCATCTTTTAAACTCCATAGTATCTTGCAATATTGGCTAACAGCTTGTAAAGTAGCTTCTTCAGTTGCTGTTTGATATTCTTAGAGCTTAACTTTAGAAATTTTCAAAGCTTCAACATATTATAAAGTGTAACACAAAAATCCCCTGCAAAATATATACAAACTGCTGCCTTTAACTCTTAATAGAGATGGGGATAAAGCTTGATGACCCACGAACCATGAATTGCCCCTCCCCAGTGACACAATGAACCACAAATCAATTTGTTGGTTTTTCAGGTCATTTTTTTTAGACAGTCCCTAGGGCTATTTTTTTAAAGCCCTGGCCCCACAGCCTTCCTACGCTTTGGGGGCATAGGAAGAGTAGGAAAGGGACCCCCCCACCCTGATGCCTTTGCAAAGACAGTGAGGGTGGGGGATTGCTTAGATCAGGCTATACTCCTCTTTGTGTCCCCACTGGGGCATAGGAAGAGGAGTACAGGGATACCCGAGTCATTCCGAAGCCCTGCTGCCTCTGCAAAGGAAGCAGGGCTGGGGGATTATTTGATTCCGCTTTGATCCCTTCCCTCTTCTTCCTATGCCATGTGAGCACAGGAAGAGGAGGAAAGGGGAACCAAGCCATACCCCAGCCCCAGGGGTGGGATTCCCGTTGGGCAGGCTTTAGCAAGCCACCCAAAGAGAAAATCCCTCTCTGCTTATCCTCCTGAGGAACAGCTGATCTTCAGGGGCATAAGCAGATAGGGAAGGAAGGGACAAATATAAAAGGGTTATATTCGTTGCTTCATATTCGGCAGGGTCTCTGGACCCCAAGAATGCGAAGCAACAAATATCTGATGAATCAGGGATATCCATTGAATACCCTGATTCATTTTTCTATTCATCCCCATGTCTAACTCTTCACCAACAATTCCACTGGGATTCAGAGCCTATGTAGCATCTACTGAAATTGTTTATTAATATCTTTGCTTGCCCAAAGAGATTCTCACCTTGTAAGAACACCAGCATGCAAAGTCTACTTCCCAGTCATGCAAATGCAATTCCACATTTCCAGCAGCATGCGCTAGATCAAATCCAACAAAGCAACCCTTAGAGACGAAGAAATAATGTTAGGTTTGTTTTGCAAATACAGAATTCATCAGCATTTTTGCATAATTAAATCTGTTTAATTGTATTTTTGTATTTTTCTGTTTATAAGACAACCCAATGTATAAGATGACCCCCCCTTTCTAATCCCAAATTAGAAAAAGCAGGGAGCAAAGGGATCCCTTTTTGCTAAGCCCCGTGCCTTAGTGGGATCCCTTTTTGCTAAGCCCCGTGCCTTACTGACCACCAGTTTTCCTTGCTGTTTGAGAAGACGTGAAGCTTAGCAAAAAGGAAGAGAGAAATGCTTCCCTTCCGACCACCAGTTTTCCTTGCCTTTTGAGAAGACGCGGAGCTTAGCAAAAAGGAAGAGAGAACGCTTCCCCTTCCTTTTTTTGTAAGCTCTGTGCCTTCTCAAAAGTCAAGGGCGCGGAGCTTAGCAAAAAGGAAGGGAAGGCATTTCTCCCCTCCTTTTTGCTAAGCTCTGTGCCTTCTCAAAAGAGAAAAGCCACACAATGATTCCTGTGACTTAGAAATTGTTGAGATGATGAGGTTACATGGATTTTTCTTAGAACCATGAAAATCATGTTTTATGTTTTAGTGAAATATTAGTGCTAACAAGAGTCATTCCAGTTGAAGAAGTGTTTAATTTGTGGGAGAAGACCACCTTAGGAGGATAGTTTAAAAGAGAAGTAAAGTAGCCACTAATGTTCATTAAACAGCAAATTAAGCATGAAATTTGAAGAGAGAGAGTTAAATGAGTAAGATACTCAGGTGGTTAAACAGGGGCCACACTATGCATTACACATAACCCCTCATTATAAAAAGAAATCCCTTACATGCTGATGGTATTCAGTCATGAAAAAAGGAGATTTTCTTGCTTCCTGTAGCTTCCTTTTTTTAAATGGTTGGTCTTCAGGACATAAATATTTTCTTCAATTGCAAATATGATTTCCCACCTGGAAATGTTTGCCTGAATTGTATCTCTAGAATGTGAACATAAATTAAACTCTAATGATGGATAATCTGTAATGTAGGTTTTAGCCTCAGCCCACTAATCCCCAGGAGAGGGTCTACAAGGCTGCTGATTTCCTTTCCTTCTCTTAATGAAAATCAAGTCTTCTTGTATTTGACTGGTTTAATGGAAACAATGCTATGTGCTACTGAAGTCATTCAAAAAAGAAGGGACATAAAATATGGCAAAAAAGTCAGGTACGAGCAGAGTTACATTAATGAAATAAATTGGGTCCTGGATCAGGGCTTTTTAATTAGGTTTAATGTCATGTGGTAGTCATGTGGTTTTTGTGTCATGTTCATCATCTTGCCTCTTTTTAATTTATTGCATCTGGTGTAGCAAAAGAACAGAATGCCACAAGGGAAAACAACCACCACTTTACATCAGATGTTCCCTTGCAGTCAATACGTGCACAGAGAGACAGAGATCTCTTCTTTCTTCTTCTCCAGCAGCTCCTTCTCCACTCACTAAGTGTGTGCATGTGCACTCCCCCCTCCCATTGCAAGCCTTTAAGCTCCCCCTCCTCAGTTTGGGCTAGAGAACTATATTTTTAAGTGTACCCCCACCAGTTCCTTTGAAATTGGAGACAGGAGGAAGAGAAGGAAGTCAGGGCTGCTCTTTCACTCTCCATTGGGGCTGAAAGGAAACATCTGTTTTAAGTTTAATGTGGTATTTTGCACTTTTGCTATACCAGATGCAAGTTTTGTTTGTTTTTTGGTAAGCCAACAGAGGCATTTACACACGCCAACACTTGCTTACCCTGATAGGCTTACCAGCAACATTTCTCTAAACTGCACAGGTGCAAAGCGCTGTATTGGTGCCACACACCCATAGTTCATATTGCTGCTCATTTGGTTCTGGTCACAACTGAAACTTTGCACACACAGAACAGGGCTTCTGTTCACTGCTGGTGGAAAAACTGAGGGACTGTTGCTTACCAGCCATGGAAAAGTGGCGGTGAGATCAGCCAGTGGGAGCGTACCTTCAAAATTAATGCCAACAGAGGCATTCACATATGAGGAATCAGTTTAAATGAATCGATTCCGTAGCTGAGTTAAAAGAAATGGCCCTCTGGTGGAATAGCAAAAAACCTCTGTGCTTCTCAAAAGAATGTGACACCCTGTTGAATTAAAGTGTACCTCCATGTATGTTGTGTATTCACCCTTTTTTGCATAAATATAAACTATGCTAAACCTTATTTAAATATGGGATTGGGAGTTTTTTAAGTAATGTAACCAGCTTCTGTGTTATTTACTAGACGTTACTCCACAAACACAGAAATGGCAGTTCGTGATCCTTGCAGAACCATGTGACACACTACACTAACATAACAGGGTCACTAGCTGAGAGAGGAATTGTATTTTTGCTAGCCACGAAATATTGTTTGAATTGAGAAATTAAGCCTAGAAATGTGTCTACCACCCACCCTCAGCCTGCCAGACCAAGAAGTGCCTCAATATTCTCCCAGGCAATGGATGTTCTGTTTTCCTGCATGGTCTGTCTTCAAAAGTTTTTAATAATTAAAGTTGTTGGTTTTGTGTTTTTCTGTGTGGGCTTCTCTTCATAAACTGCCTGAACCATGGCAAAAAATAAAACACAAAACCCTGGCTTTTACATCCTAGGTATGTGGAAAAAAAAGAGCAGGTTTAGTGTTTGGTGAACCAGTATGTCGTGCTTAATGGGTGGGCTTCTCTTAGCTAGCTGGATTAAGTCTTCCCTTACCTAGGCACTTTATTCATGAGAAAGGCATTCTGCACTCCAGAACTGTTTTGATTATTGTTTGATTAAACAATAATATGACCTTTTGGAATGGCCCAAGGACCTTTCATATATAAGAACTTGAACTTTTAAATTTAAACTATACATAATTTTATGGAGTGCTTCAGGGCATTCTGACACTGATTACAATTAACCTAGTATTCACAAGAATTCACAGATATTATTAGCTGAATAATTTTTTATCCTCAGTTTTGAACTTGTATCCTTCATATTTTGAAAAGTTTTAGAGAGAGGGATTAGATTTTTGGAACAGTTATGCACATTCTCCTTCTCAATCAATTCCTCTATATGTCTGATATAGATCAGTTTTAAGTTCTTGTATTTCTCATGCATTCTGAAGGTCTTTCCAACATCTCTCTGTTGTGGGAATAAATCCCTTACAACTAGTAACAAGTGAAGAGTTAGGGGACCAAAAGGTTGCCCAGAAATTTCAGAGTAATATTTCCTCCATTGAGCTTTGCATATATTTTATTTTGAACAATAGATATTTTACTTGTGAAAGACAGAGAAAATATTAGATTCAAGCTGTTTTATTCATAAGAATCGCCACTTGATGGCAGCATTTTTAAACTTAACAATGAAACAGAAACAGAATAGTAAAAAACTAAAGTATTGATGAGATGAGAAAAATGATGGTATGTATCGTGTATGGACTACAAACTGAAGAATATTCTACATATTTTTAAAAGCCTTTTTAGAAGCAACATGGGAGAAAGAACAGTGAGGGCATAAATTCCCAGCTCTTTTATCCCATAATAACACAAAGGCTTTTGGAACTATCAGTTTCTGTCTTTTGCTTCATTTAAATTATTAAACCAATACTTTGGTATATTAAATCTCCTCTAAACTATCCAGCTCTCAGAAAGTAATTGCATTTATAAGTGTGACATGCTAATTCTAATGAAGCTACTAATGAGGCTGTCAGCCTAGATCTTTCTTCCAAAATGAAGGGATGAACTTGCAGGCCTCATCACTTGCCAAATATAACTGGAAATGATGGGTGAAAGCTATCAAAGGGCTGGGCAGAAGGAAGACAGTCATCTACTAATGGTTTGCAGCTTTGGATTCTTAAATTGATGGGCTATGGTGTGATATTTGTATGTTTCTAGGAAAGATTTTTTTGTGATATGAATCACCTTGGGTCCTTTTAAGGGGAAAACCAGGGTAAAGGTATTTTGAATAAAATAAAATAAATGATTGAATCCTTGGGAGGATTACTTAATGAAGAGCTTAACTATAGTAGGTCCTGGGTGTACCTTCTTATGAATTTAAAGCATGGTAGAACTTCATGATAGTCAGGTAATACAGGTTCCAGTGGCATACAGAACAGTTGGGTTTGAAAACAACATTCTTTTGTAGAGTAGAGGAAATGCAAAGTGTTCTTTTCATTTCCTCTGTTGGCCTTTCCTGTAACTTACAAAGTCGCCCTGCATTTGTAAAATGAGCTATCACAATTTGTACACCGCAAAGAGAGTTTAGCCACCACTTCAAACACAATACATTTTTTGATGGGAGTTCTTAGGCTGGCCTGTTTTGGAGTAACATTAAGCCATCATTTAGCACTATCCAAATGTGTAAGCCTTGGTGAGAAGCTTACTTTTCCTGTCCCCTCTGGCAATGCATGAAGAGAAGATCCAAAGTTTCCTGCTTTAAATGAGCTTGACATTCTCATTAACATCCAAGCTGAATGTAAATTGGCTTTACTAATATTAGGCAGTATCTTGTCCTTTAACAAAACCTAGTTTAAACCAGTTGTGGCAACACTAACCTTTCAAATGTTTGTTTTGCCAGCATAGCTGACAGCAAAGGATTCTTGGAGTTGCAGTCCATATACATTTGGAGGGCTGCAGATGTCCATCATTGTTTAAACTAATCAAAGTCCATTCCTTGCTGTTGGTAGTGAAGTAACAATAAACTGTTCAAGAGAAAGAACCTGTTTTTCCTCTTGGTCATACTGGACATTCTGTACTTCCTTAGTGATTGAGTACTGAGTCATTAAAATGAAGGATACCCTCTACAGAAAGGAGTATCATGTAAGTTTTATTGTGGAAAAAAATCATGTTGTGCTTAAAAATGGTTCAAGGTTTTAAATTAGTCTCTTGTTTAAAGCTGAAAATGCATTTTGCTTCATCTTTGTATTAAACAGAAGTAACTGAAATATTTCTCAAGAATTTGGAATAACGCAGAACAATAGTTTGAGATTGATAATGA